ACAGACAGAGTGACAGGATTCACCAGTGCCTGACCGCTTGGGTACGCTACTGGAAAATGCACTGGCCTGTTAGGACTCATTCGAATGTCGTACATCTGCGGCAGTATGGCAGATCTCGGATCCCAGGCTGGTAACCCCAAAAATGGTACATCAAGTCCATCAATTTGGGATGCCATCGATAAGGGACGAGCAAAATGCGTATGTCTCCGCATGGAAGCAAATCCAGTAGAAGGTCACAGGGAAAGAAATCTGTCGACAACAGGAAGGAAGCAAGTGAAGTCCTCTACCTTGGATAGAAAAAGTGAGGGAATCGACCTCGGACACGCAAGGTGAGAAACCACTACTCCACTAGGGAGGACACATGAGTCGGTTCTACTAGAAGGACATGTCGTAACTGCTTATCCCTAAACAAACTAGACCTGATAACATTGACTTGCGCACCAGAGTCCATGAACAAATGAACGGGTGCATTATGAACAGATGCTTGCACATAAAGGGCCTATTTTGCATGAAGATATGTGCAAACAAAAAGGAGATTGCGACCGAAAAAATTTGTTTCCACTTCATCCCCAAAATCATCTACTCAGAGACTTGTGAAGCAACATCAGCAGCAGGATTGTCATTCTCGAGACTGCTTAAGCTTCAAAGAATTGTGAACGATGGTGTACTCATTATTACCTACTGTCCTCCATGGGACGGTTTGACTGGGCGCTCGAATTCCCCCGAAAATTGGAAGAATGAGCCGGTTTACCCCCACCCCCTGTTATTTGAGAACCACGCCGTCTGTTTCCTCTACGGTTCTACGGTTGGAACGGCCACGGAAAGACCCAGAGTTCTGAAGGTTGTAGAGAGCATTGCACTCAATGTTCATGTCCATGTATTCAATGATAAGTACCGTAGTGAAGATCTGACTGGTACTCATCAACAGTACGCGCCTCTTAAGTAACCTATCAGGAACCATTAATTGCAATAAGGTCACGAACCCACAGTGTAACAAGTCCAGCTGACTATGGTTACTTAATGTACTATGAATACTACGAGGTTTAATGACTCTGTACCTGGTCCTTTGGTGATCGCTGCGATGGTTGACGACCACGATTTTGTAGTGGGGCACAAACAAGAGGTGGTGCAGACCTGAGGCATAGGTGTGAAATGACTTTTGATACATGGGAAAGTTACCCTGGGGGCATGGAATCGTACATTGATTTAGGCAGTAAGGGTTCCATCGCATCAGTTTGAGGATTTAGCCCTCATAAGCACACCACGGAAGCAGCGGCCATTAGTTCTTTTATTGCTCCAAAGCTGCTATATTAGCAAACGACGCTGTGGGATGGTTATCCTCGCAGGGACAAAAGCTGAGGACTGGACAGCATTGATAAATGATGATAAAAGTTTGTCTAATCTAACAGCAAAAGCACTCAACGATTCCATAAATATGGGTGTAGCATTCACGAGTTCCCTAAGAACGACATATGGATCAGCTGTTTTTACTGGTACAAGGAAAGAACGAATCAGTTCCTCATATTCCTCGCATTTCAAGGAGATCAACAACGTGAACAGCAGCAGGGGACCGATGAAGAGCTTCTTTCGGCAAGTCTGATAAGACATTCCTCAGCAGGAGGACTGTCAACTAGAGCATTTAACCGAGAACGAATGGGCATAAACCATGCTTAAGACTAGTACATGGCCATTGCATAAGGTAACGCATCAAGAGTAAACACGAGTAAAACTATAGTGTCCTCAGTGTCCTGGGTCGTCTTCAGTTGATATGGAACTGTGAGACTGATGACAGGAGCAGCAAGTAGCCCTTAGAGTCTGAGTGTCGACATTCACTAAGTATCACTTGACGGTATATGAGAATAATGGCAAGAAGTTGCACAAGAACAAATAAAGCAAAAAATAAATGAATAATAAAAATAATCAAAATGCTAAAATTGAAATTAAAAGATGATTGCAACTAATTCTGCCTCAGAAGTAATAAAAAACATGTCTAAGATACACATGCAAAGGAAGAACAACTCCTTATAGGACCCCCCTGGGGGGGGGGGGGGGGCTTTGGACAAGATAAAAAATTTTACATGAAATTTACAAGTAAAAATATTACTGGAGACTGAATTAAATGCAAAATGACTGTCTGTACTCTTGCTAATAAAGAACTGAACTAATAAAACTGTAAATCAATATAAAAAAGTATAAAATAAAATCACTAAATTGGTATGCAACGAGAGATAACTGGAAATTAAATTATATTCCTAAGAAGCATAAACAAAATTAAAATATGATGCAAAGACAAACATGAGGAAAAAATAATATAATTAAAAACAAGACTCAAACAACTAATGACTGAGAATAATAATGCATAAAATATCAATAAAAGAAAAATAATTCATGCAGAACAAGTGCACATTAATAATTCACTGCAGAACAAGTGCAACAAAAATAATTTCTCCAGAACAAGTGCAACAAAATAATTCACTGCCAGAACAAGTGCAACAAAATTAATTTACTGCAGAACAAGTGCAACAAAATAATTCACTGCAGAACAATAGCAACAAAAATAATTCACTGCAGAACAATGCTAACAAAATAATTCAGTTTCTGCAGAACAAGTGCAACAAAATAATCACTGCCACAACACGTGCAACAAAATAAATCACTGCAGAACAAGTGCAACAAAATAAGTCACTGCAGAACAAGTGCAACTAAATAAGTACTGCAGAAACAAGTGCAACAGAAATAATTCACTGCAGAACAAGTGCAACAAAATAATTTACTACAGAACAAGTGCAACAAAATAATTCTCTTGCAGAACAAGTGCACAAATTATTCACTGTCACCACAAGTGCAACAAAATACTTCACTCACACAAGTGCAACAAAATAATTCACTGCACAACAATGCAACAAAATAAATCACTGCAGAACAAGTGCAACAAAATACTTCACTGCACAACAAGTGCAACAAAATAATTCACTGCAGAACAATGGCAACAAAATAATTCAAACTGCACAACAGTGCAACAAAATAATTCACTGCACAACAATGCAACATAAATAATTCACTCACAACAAGTGCAACAAAAATAATTCACTGCAACAACAAGCAACAAAATAATTCACTGCACAACTAGTGCAACACAAATAATTCACTGCACAACAAGTGCTACAAAATAATTCACTGCACAACAAGTGCAACAATAATCACTGCACAACAAGTGCAAAAAATAATTCAACTGCACAACAAGTGCAACAAAATAATTCACAGCACAACAAGTGGCAACAAAATAATTCACTGCTCAACAATGCAACAAAATAATTCACTGCACAACAAGTGCAACAAAATAATTCACTTCACAACAAGTGCAACAAAATAATTCACTTCACAACAAGTGCAACAAAATAATTCACTGCACAACAAGTGCAACAAAATAATTCACTTCACAACAAGTTCCACAAAATAATTCACTGCAGACAAGTGGCAACAAAATAATTCACTGCAGAACAAGTAGCAATGAAATAAATGCAGAAATAACACTGCAGTAATAAAAGTTACACTGGAAAATGCATTAAATAATTAAAATAAAAATATGAAGAAAAACTGGGAAATTGAACACTTTACTCTTAATTGTAAATTAGACAAAACAATTTACTTCAGAGTTAAGAAAACACTTATTAAAAAAAGAGATTGAAATTTCACAAAGTGAATTTGTTCAAAGAAATAAGAAAAATATGAATAAAAATAACAAGAAACAAAACGAAGTGTTAACACTTTACAAGGTGGCGGGGCACACACCACTTACAAGTGGCGGGGCACACACACTTACAAGTGGCGGGCACACAACACTTACAAGTGAGCTGGGCACACACACTTACAAGTGGCGGGCCACACAACACTTACAAGTGGCGGGGCACACAACACTTACAAGTGCGGGGCCCCACAACACTTACAAGTGGCGGGCACACAACACTTACAAGTGGCGGGGCACACAACATTACAAGTGCGGGCACACAACCCTTACAATGGCGGGGGCACACAACAAGATTGTATATTATTTATCAATGTACTTACAAGAAAAAAAAAAAAAAAACAATATCTTGCTGATGACTGATACGACAAAAATTGTTGGAAAAATAATGGAACACAAGTCTGCGAAAATAGCAGGGAAGAGACACTGCTGGCATACGAAAAAAAGGTCAACATAGAAATAAATGATATTTAGTAAACTGGGGTGTATTCACCTGCAGGAACAACAATGACAAATACTTGGAGAATACAATCGAAGAACACCAGATAAAAAATTTTTACTTCACACGGAGTGACTGACTGGTACACTACAGAATAATACTTACTACAGACAGAGAGTAGCATAAAAAAACAGATAAAAAAAATGAGATGAGCGATAACACTGAAAATATAATGTAAAAAAATAATGAGTCAAAGAAACACTGAGTCACACTGAAACCACAAGCTTAGAGTACACAAGAAATTCACTATAAATGTTCTCACACACACAAATGTCTTTAAATGCAAGAAAAATGTCTCTAAACAGAAAATTATCACTGAAGTCTGGAGTAGTAGGTGGAGTGACTAGTGATGAGGGGAAGGTTGTCCTGTATGGGTGATGACGCCTCCTACACTCACTCTGTTTCGAAGAAATCGCTTCTAGGTGAACCACATACTGGCTTTATCGTTGGCGCCAGCTACAATCTCTTGACCAATTATTGAGCCCAACAGTAGCTAGAATTCGGACACCCGTACAAGGGTGGAAAAAAGCCACAGGTAGATGAGTGAAGAGTGGGTGGCGGGTGGGTGAAGGGAGCGTGACCTACTCCCTGTTGCTCACTGGCGCACACTCCACTCACTACCCACGAAGGTGGCTTAATTAACTAAGGCCAACAATTGCCACAGGATGGTGAGACCACTCCTAGCATCCATCTGGCATCCATACTGGAGCAAAAGCGATATATGAAACAATACTTCAGAGAGACCTTGCATGCTACTTCTCTCTCTCAGCTGGGTTAGAAGCTGGGTTGGCTGACTGGCTTAACCCATGAGAATGGCTGACTGGAAGACGTGTAACGATGCACACAGCATGAAGGAGCAGGTGGATGACAGGAGACAGGCTGGATGGTAGGCTGAGGCAGGCTGACTAGCGTTCACTTCCACAGTCTGGGCTTATTGACTGGCTTAATTGCAAAATCCGGGTCAAGCCCTCGGAGATTGAAGCAATTAGCACACTAAGCCAGGAAGCTTGAAAAGCGGCTGCAACAGGCTTGCAGCTTGCAGGCTGGAGTACACAGGGTGGTGAGAGTGAGGGTAAGCGGCTAGCTGGAGGTGGCACAGTTCACCTCTGACCTGCCGGCAACCCACAAACAGTCTTCTAACGTCTGATATACCCTTAAATCCACGCCCACACCGCTGTCACCAATTTGTCATGTGGGTTTTCGATAACGTGGATGGGGTAAGAATACTCACGTAGGCTGGTAGTACGTATAATATAACGGAAAGTATGGGAAAGCACCAACAGCCGACCTGCCTCTCTCTGCTCCCTATCTTCGACTGACCCACAAGTGCCTACAGGGTGAGGGGTGTTTGAAATCCTGCTATGGTCAGCAGCAATATGAATAACAGTGATTCACACAGACGGTTGGTAGTGAGTCATCTACTGGTACACTGGTTACTGGTAACTGGTTACTAGGAACTGGTACTGCCATTGAGATCTCCTCCATTTATGCAGAGAGATTTCGAGTACTTAAACAAGCAGCCTGTGTGAAGAATAGCACCAGCGCGTTATAATCAACCAACGTCAGGGACTTGCTGTACTACATGGCCTTGGATACACTGAGAGAGAAGTAAAAATGCTGATGTGATGTACTCAGATTTTGCAAAAGCCTTTAGCATGTGTGATCATGATGTAACAACACACAGAATGCATATAAAAAGGATTAACTAGAAAAGTGGGCAGATGGATATTTTTTTCTAACGGACAGATACCTAAAGTCAGTGCCGGATCAGCCGGGCTGTGGCTCGTACGTTGGACTGCATGCGGCCAGCAGTAACAGCCTAGTTGATCAGGCCCTGATCCATCGGGAGGCCTGGTCATGGACCGGGCCGCGGGGGCGTTGATCCCCGGAATAACCTCCAGGTAACCTCCAGGTAACCTAGAGTGTA